TAAAAAAACAAGTTTCAATATTGTTTAGTATGAAAACGTCGATATTCAATATTAATATTTTAACATGTTGATCTATTACAATATAGCATTTAATCCAAAATGGTTGAGTGATTTTTGAAAAAAAAATTACATCGACATATTTTTCATTTAATTTGGTTATAGTATACAAAACTAATAAAATTTATTAAGAGGTATTCGGAAGGACATAAGTAGCTAATTAATGTTTTTTTGAATTGCTATCCCTTATTTCTTTATATTTGATCACTATAAAAGTTAGGTATTAAGTCACATTGTGCATTAATATACCATTAAATTCATGAAAAAAACATGAATAAAAGTAAAACTAAAATTGTGACATTTCGACAAACAAAGTTGTTTTCATCAGATACTAATGAAATTTAAAGTTTTACATATGTATTGTCTTTTCTGTCTTTAGGTTTTATTGTGATATTTAACATATGCTAATTGATCGGTAAAACCATGATACTGTTAAAAGAGATATACTATTTGTTTTCTTCTTCTGTTTCCACTACTATATGTTAAACATGGTGACAACCTCCGAAGACAGAGAATTGAGCACATACAGTAAAATTTCTCTTAAACGAATAACCTTCGATGCAAAAGTATCCTTACAAATATCAAAGCCTATTGTGTTCGAACAGAAAGTGCTAGAGGCCTAATTTCTTCACTGATGGATAGAGCACAGCTTGTGCTTTAAAACGCATATGGGGATTATAATTGAAGATGTAGTTTATGATATCAAATCTCAAGTTTTTTTCAAACATTGAAGTTGCCTTGTTACCAAGGCAAAATTTGGAATTCTTTCATATCTTAGCTGCATGTATTCGTTTGAATGGTTTGAAATGGGTTACACATTTTGAGCATTCATAGAGCTTTGATTGGAAAAATGTTTTGACTCAAACGGATGTAGCCCTTGTGGGTTATTAACAAGTTTCTAGTTAGGTCGAAATTGACGCCAAGTTTTATTTTGTACGTATTTTATATTGTACCATTTATGAACTCCATGCAGCGACTTTTTATACTATATTTTACATATTTTTGTAGAGCTCGAAGTACTGTATATTTTACATCACTTTGAAAGGATGCTATTCTTGTCCACCGTTAGAACTTTCGTCAAAATCGCAGAATCTACTGACAGTGCTTTTGACACTGATTGCTGGGCATTCTGAATACACAGAAAAACTGGAGACCGATTTTCAGAAAGCCTAGAGTCCGCAGACGTCTCTTGCCAAGTTTGAACCAATTATCTTATATTTTAGTCAACATAATGCAAGCTAAAACAAGAAAAAGGACGAAATAATTTACCTTAGTAACAAGTCAATTTCAGTGTTTGGAAAAAATTTGAGATTTGATATCGTAAATTTCATCTTCAATTATAATCCAAATATGCGTTTTAAAGCACAAGCTGTGCTCTATCCATCAGTGAAGAAATTAAGCTTCTAGCACTTTCTGTTCGAACACAATAGGCTTTGACATTTGTACGGATACTTTTGCATCGGAGGTTATAGGTTTCTTTACTAGTTTTGAAGTAATCAAAGACTATTTTCTGTGTTGTTTATCTTCCTTGATTCAGATATTGATGAGGAAAAAGAAAATTTCAACAGAATACAAAACTTTGCTTTATCTTAAAAAAATTCTACATTGTGATTTTGATCTCGATATATATGAATTTGATGAACGTTGCTCTACAATTTATCCAAATATATTTGCATATTGCTTTATTATGTTAAAACTTTTGAAGTTTTGTTTAATACTTTAATTTTGATTTGTTTGATAATCATTTAAATATTATTTTCTTCATTTTCAAATACCGGACTTTTCAGCTAATTCGCGTTGTGATGAATCAAAACTATCGTTGTAATCATTAGTTAATTGAATTTTTTCATTTAATGTAAGATGATGTTGCGATGTCATTGCTTTTCCTGATATGTACAGTTTGTAAAAATGAACAGTAGTTTTAGTATTTTACCCAGAAATGATGAAGAGTAGAGAAAAAAAATGTATTCCACGTTTATTTACAAGACATTAAAAAGTTAATCGGGACTGTATAAATAATGATCACGATCAGAGTAGGATAGGAAAACGGTAAGCATATTACAGGGTAGTGTAGGGTAAGCGTGCAGAGTACAGAAAAATCTTACCTGCACATCCCTACTTCATTGAAATCTTACGTAAGACTCTAAAAAAAAGTGTCAGACAAAAATTTGACATATAATTCAATGTATCTTTATTTCTTCTTTTCAACGATGAAATCCGTATGTCTGCATTTTGTTTCTATGAAAAGTTATTGATAAAAACATTAATCTTTCTTCTATATTGAAATGGATAATAGTTTTGATCTGATAAATTTTGTATACTAGTTGTTTTCACTTAAAAATGATCTTTGATCTGGTCATCCTACTTGATAGAGAGTTTGAGTACTTTTTATTCATATTAGACATTGACTTAATATTAGATAATTAATATACATCTTATTTTATCCATAGAAATATTTTCAATGTGTTAACAAAATTAAGTGAAAGATTTCTTTGTTGTAGATAAATTGACAAAATTAACTTGTCGATTAGTTTATATGATGACTGAACGAATAGGTGAATGAGGGAATGTACTTGGGTCTTCTGCAGATCGATATTCAAACCTTACAGTCACATCCACACCCTAAATTCTCGAAGTAGATGGACGTGTTTCTCAACGGCTTTGATTTGCTTGCTGTGAGACGATTGTGCAGATTATGAAGATAAATGAATAATAACATTCTCGACTGTCCTCAGCTATTTTTGTATGCAATATTGAAATATTGCACTTTTTTCATTATATTCAAAGTGAGCTGGGAAATGAATAACATCATTGGACAGATGAGAAATCATAGTTTTAAAAAATCTTCAAAATATCTAGTACATAGAATACTCTTTGCTTCAATTGATGTACAAAAAGCTATGTGAAAACGATTGTATCGACATGAGTAGAAGGTTCAATAATGAAAAAAAGAATATGTTGAATGTTCGTTTTTTCTATATTTATACGTAGTCAATGAAGTGTGACGGTCAATTGGTGACAACGAAGAATGACTGTCGTATTCTTTTCGAAATGAAAAAAAAAGAGCTAAGCCGAAGAAAAAATCAAACGAAGATAATTTATCTGACTTAATAATCTTATATAAAAGAAAACAAAAGCAATATCAAGTGCATTTTTTTCGTAATCGACAATACTCTAATATCATTGAAGCAATGCTTTTAAATAAATCTCTGATTTGTCACTCTTAACTAGGCTACAAAAGACAAGGTGTGGGTGATGAGACTGTTCAAAGGCACATTCACACTCACCCTCACACGCAACTATTAAGTTCTGATGATTCGAATCGAACATAATCATCGTCGGTTGAATATTTCATGAGAAAAAATAGAAGTGAGCATAAAATGCTCATTTTGCTTGTTTTATGTTCACTTTTTGGTTACACAAAAAGTGAAGTTTGTAAAACTAGTTTATGTTCATCATTTGTCTCGAACAAAGGCATGTTTTAATTTTCTATTTGGTTTTTGTGAAAGAAGAACATTTTGAGCTTGACAGTGCACATATTCTTACACATAATGTTTTTTTGAAAGTGTTTTTCGAACGGCATGCTTAACAACTACACAAGAGTCAGCTCCGAATTTTTTTTAATGCTGTTTTTTTTCATCATGTTTTAATGACGATATACTTAGTAGACGATTTTACGCCAACATAGATCACTGCATAACTGCATAGTCATTGCAAATACAGTGGTCCTCCGTGTCGGTCTTTCGACAAGTTTCGGTTTTTGATTTCGTGGAAATATGTATTCATTGATAGAGTAAAGAGTCTTGATTACGAATATTAGAATATTAAGTGCTCAAAGCATTTTAATGAAGTCAATTTAAGCATTATGTGAATATTGATTATCTTTTCATGTGGTTTTCTTCTTGCAAGATCAAGATTTGTTTCATGTACATCTACTTTTTTCACAATCATCATATGAAATAAATCAAATTTAATGAGAAATAGTCAATGATATTAAATCATCAATTACTCAGTTGACATCATGTATATTAGTCGAGCGACTTTGTTCAATATCATCCATAATTTGTTTAGCCATTCTATAGGTAAGAATATTGCAAATAAAAAAATCATAATTAAAGTTATTAGTAAAAATAAAACTTATCATAAACTTTGTTATTATAGTTTTAGCAATAGCACCTCGAGCTCCTCATCTAATTCAACCTGTACATTAGAAGTCAAATCGATTCCCAATATGATTTTTTTTCCATTCAAAATAATACCACGTTCATTATCAAATGGTAACCATCAATCAATCTATATTCAAAATGAAAGTGACCATTAGAAAAAGTAGCCATATTGTTCTATACTACTGTATCAAATACAGTATTCTAGAACTTTTCTTTTTTTCTTATATTTTGGATAACACGGGCGAAACATCTTTTCATCAAGATTAACGTCAAGAAGTATAATCTCCACATGAGATACTGCATATTCTCAAATAATTTATGGCAAAATTTCAAATATAATAGTTACCATTTTAGGTTCATTAGAGACAAATATCTTACAATGCATATAATATGTTTTGTAGAAGCAGTATACCTTCATCTTTTGACTATCGTTATCCGTGCAGGATATCAACAAAAGTAATTTTGATAAGTTTGATATTTTCCTAGAGTTAGTAACTTGATCTGATGTAGACAGAGTTTTCTTAGTTTTTGATTTTCTATATTCACTAACAAATATGTCCAGAAAATATATTACAAAGATAAATGGGACTAAGAAATATATGGAACAACATGATAAGTATACTATTTGACACATAATCCAAGATCCTGATCGTAAACAATTTATTCAAGATTAGTACATGCCAAGATGATAATCTAGATTCGAACAAGCTAATTCTCACATACATGATGAACATTATAGTCACTGATTCATGGTAGCTTCTCTAGATATGAGTGAGACTAGTCGTTTTTGATCGCGGTCCCAGTAAAAAAAACCAAATTTGTTCCTGGATCGGGATCATCTTGTCCATGTTTAAATTCCTTCTATAGACATAATCGGTCTCATATTGCTACATTTCCGATTATGACATATTTCAATTTTCGAACTCAATGGAAAAAAGAATAACAAAAGGATTCTCTTCATTCTTACTTGGATACTATTAAAATAATCTATACTTTTAATTACAAGACCACATGGTATTGTTTTTATAGTTCGATTTTGTTGAACAGATATATTTTTATTAGAAAAATCACAACTAACTAGAAATTCTGTACGTTCAAAATCAACACATTTAACAATTGTTTGTCTATTTAATTTTGTTTGACGACACCAACATTTTAAATACTAAAATCATTCAGCATTATTTTTCAATTGTTCTAGATAAAATAATTTTCTTAATAAATGACAATCAATTTCAAAAATGCAAACTTTTTTCAACTTTTTTTTTAAACATTAATTCGGTTAATCTTTTTCTTTATCGTTCTAATTTATCAATCATATTTTGATCAATTCGATTAAAATCTTCTTTATTGGCATAACTAACCATCAATAAGGCACACATGAGAAAAACTCGAACTGAAAAGTAAAGAAAAGTGAATTTATCATTTAAAAGAGAACAATCAGCAATATTTGAAATGGAAACACTTCTACTCCTGAGTAGCTTTGAATGCTTTGAACATGCGAAATCTTTCTTGGAGTCAACAACTCGAAAATTTGTGTAAAAAATGTTAGTGAAATGCATCGTCAAATAAGAATCGATAAGCAGAAAAAAAATTCTTCAATTAATTATTAATCGATTAATTACGAAGTACTCTTTGAATATATGACTTTTGTAGAAATGTTAGATGTCTACGAATGAAGATGATGGATTTACAAACGATCTATATTTTTGATGAAATTCCATTATGAAACTTGCTTATTGTGTATTTTGCTAGTTTATGTTGTTAAATTTCGCAACACATCCATTTTTAACACAATTTTATTTCATTAATTCGCATTCGTGTTTTTTAGAAATACTGCATTACAGAATTTCATTAGTATCCGAATTTTGCAGTGCTGTTAAATCATTAAGCATTTTGCATTGGTTTTGTTTTTGTTCGTAAGTATGCATAAATTTGAATATATTTGGAATTAGCAGCGAATTTTGGATGTGAATTCTCTCTTGATGTACTCACATATGCATCCACACCCACATCCTTATTGAGAACCACAGAAAGAGAATGTAAACTGCTAGGATAAATAATGTCATCGAATGATTACTTGCGTCTTTTCATTTTCTACACATCGGCAGCATAAATTTCTACTGTTTAACCTAGACTCTGCATGTATCTCTAAACATTTCAGAATTGACACAAGATTTGAAACCAGTGTTCGATACAAGTTAGACTTTCGATATACTCGAACGGACTATATCGAATGGATTCAGTAAATGACGCGGCACAGTGAACGAATTTTCGTTCGTTTCAAGACGACGAGACCCTCAATTGCCATCGTTCAGTATTCATTTCAAATGACCTCATTTGTCAGCAGAGCAAAGGCACTCATAGTACAACAAACTACAAGAAGAGGGATTAAATCAATAATACATTGAATAAGTTTCATCTAAATATTCACAGCATTTATTTAGATAAGCAAGACAATGATGGAAAATTTTTGTTTTTTTCTCTTTCAACGTATTCCAAATCATCTAGAATTTGACATTGAGCCGTTCATGAGTCAAGAATATACACGATCGACGAACACACTATAGAAAGAAACCAATTGATAGATACACTTAAGGACAGAATCCGCTTTAATTATGGCAGGAGACAATCGAGGATTATTTGACGAGCATACCACAAATAGATTGGTACTATGAGCCAATTCTGAGAAAGATAAACATGGATTTGATATGCATTATGCCATTCAATGAATTGGATTCCCAGAAAGTTCAACAAAGTTGAGGATATTCTGATAGTGACATTCTTTCACAAATGTCTTGAATCAACTTGTAATCCAATGCCACATTATGGTTCATTATCGAATTCAACACCTGATACTTTGTCTGAACAAAGAGCTAAGAATATGATTCAGCTGCATTGCTCGATATAACCTCGAAGAGGGATAATTCTCTTTAAAAAGTTCAAGTAATTTTTTTTTGAAATATCTTGATGATATGAGTTCATGAAAAAGTCCTATGGCAGTTTACTCTTCCTTGCATATAGAATCATTGGTTCAGATTTATGCGATATATCTATCTACCCTTCGTGTAACAATCCAAAAGTCGTTCTAACAAAAAGTTTGTCGTACTTTCATGTTACAGAACAGCAGCATAACTGGCAAATGCCGAAAAATGCTTCTTGAATGACATTGGCAAATATGAAATGTTTCAGTTATAAATTTAAATATGTGATTCGTGTTGTTCTTACTACATAAACGAATCAATGAAAACAAAGTAATCGGTTTTTATAGATCACCAAACACAGTAGAAATATTAATGCAGCATGATTTTATTTTCAACTTGACATAGTGTTTACCGAAATGTATAATTGACATAGGGTAAATATTCAATCTCATTTCCTTCGAGATCATCACACCCTATTTCGAGAATAAGTGAACGAACATGATCTGCAAGTTTTTTCTTTGACAATCTCTCGTATACTTCCGATATCCTTTGAAAAAAAGTAAAAAAGTCATACGCATTAGTCGAATCAATACTCATCTTCCTACTTTCGTTTCATATCTTGTGCCCTGTTCTGTTGCTTTAGGAGAAAACCACAATAGATGATGAATTTCCTTGCACTTATCATAGTAGGCCGTAGTTTGTATTCTTTCTATAAATAAATGATCGAAAGAAATCTAAAAATCAGATTGCATATAGATGATAGATAACTGCGTACTTTGAAGTATTCAATAAACTCTTCCAATGTGATATCACCTTGTACTTCAAATCTGTCCCACAATGTAAATTCATGCCCGAGATACTACAAAAACCATGAACTGTCTGTTTTGTGAAATAATCACAGAGAACATACATACTTTTTGTCTTTTAGCCAGCACAGGTTCCCAAAACATGAAGAAGGGCAATGCCATATTGACAAAAGAATTTTTGAAGAATTCAATATTCTTGTGTCTTTGAGCAAACTTGTACACTTCGAGACACATTAACCCAGCAACTACGGCGGTAGTTGTCACAATCGCTGGAATAATCTTACCGGCGATACGCTTTACTTCGTTTCGTTCAACTGTTTCGATACCATAATTTTCTGCTCGCAGATTAGCGGTAGCTACGATATAGTCTAATTGAAAGTTAAAATCATCCTCTAGTTTCAAATCATGTGGTTGAACTTTTAAATTGAGTAGGTTGTTAACTCTGGGCAGCTGAGAGAGAATAGCATCAACTTTAGACTCGGTCTCATCCTGACATTCACCACATGGAGGTTCAGCTTGGGTGTTAGACTTTGAATCATCATCATCATCTGTAATATTTACTTTCACTTTGAATTTAACTATTGGATTTTGATTGAGTTGTTGAACAATCTCATATCGATCAACAAGCTTGGGAATATCATAAACATAGGCCATCAAGTTTGATGCCGCAACAATAAAGTCAAGATGAGTTTTGTTACTTGAATCAAATTGAAGCACACGTGGACACATTTTATATCCGGTCCAAAAACGTTCACCGGTGTTCGTTACATGATCAGAAGGAAAATGAGCAAGTAATTGAACAATATTATTGTGAAATTGGTCTTCAAAAAGATTTCGTGCCTGCAATAACAGAAAAGAACAATAGCATTTAAATCATCTCGAATGAAAACGCGGTCGAGAGAGAACGCTTTAGGAATCACATATTCGGATTGATAAAGTGATTATAAGTATTTGAAGTGTTTGTAAATTTAGTGTATGCAACAGCGAAGAATTGATTAATATATCGGATCGAGTTATCAACCTATAATCGATTTGTAAGTCTGATATTTATGAATGTTTATGAGATGTTGAAAGAATCAATTTTTAGCGAGAAATATATATGAATGAATCACATGGGCACTGTACCATGTCCGTTGCAAAATTTGAAAAAATATGGCTGTAGATGAAGTTGTGGGTATTATCTGCGAATTACTCAGAAGCACAATCACATGCGCACCTTAAATGTTGCTTATATTTAAATGCGCACAAAATGTTAACTATTTTTTAAATTCTTTGAGAAAATCACTTATCAATGATTAGTGTTACGACTAGCAAATGGACGCGTGTGCCAGAATAAACGAAGATATTTTTTTCTGTTCTTCATACTTGTCAATGAACATACTGTTATTGACCGAGTCCCAGAGTAGTGATGTTCTTTTCATAAACACATAGCATAATGTATCATGACATTGAGACTATTTCAAAATTACTGAAAATGAGTTTAGGATTCTTATCCTTATTCTGCATTCCTTAATGATAATGAAGAATATTTTATGGCAAAAGTTTTCGTTTGCCCTATATTATTCTTGATTTCTCTTTTCCAAAGAATAATAATGTAGCGCTTAGTTGACAGATGGCAAAATGAAAAGCAATGTTAACTCACCCATTTAATACACTCAAAAAATGTTCTTGGATGATCAGGTCCGACAATACGTTTGATCTTATCAACCATTTCCTTCGTGTAATCTTTCGAATAATCTTTCGATATGTGCTCCGCGAAACCTTTCGGATCACTTATGTACTCGTTGGCTTGTTTCAGAGACTCTATAAACAAAGCCACGAAGCTATTACGTGCCCAATCGATGGCATCTTCGATTCGATGAGGAAAATTGATTATTATACCTATAGGCACCGATCGTTCGGGTGGATCATCTATAGAATTATACGATTCTGTTAGCATGGGTACAACAACTTGAACATTGGATTTCGTTCCTGATGTTCCGCTAACGATCAATGGCTTTCGGTAGTATACACAACGATGATCAAGATACTTATCTTGAAAAATTTGATGTAAATAATTTTATAATCAATTAGCAAAAAACTCACGTGTTGCAACATTATCCACTGCATCAATAACACAATCGAGTTGCTCAAAAAAATTATCGTTAAAGATATGTTCAGTTTCTGAGTCGGCACGATCTAGAAATGCATGAATATTGATAGATGAATTCCATGTTGACACAACTTTTGCTGCTGTATTTGATTTCATTTGCTAGAAAAAGAGCTGAACAAGTTATTTAGCAATACACAAACAACGTACTCCAATGTTCCATGGACGAAAGAGAAAATGTCGATTGAGATTTGATTTTTCGATCGCATCCATATCTGTGACATAGATGACTCCGTCTTTCTCACATCCGATACCCATCACAGAAAAGTTCTTGAGCACTTCACAGCCAATAGCACCAACACCCACCTAGTACGCATTTGAAAAAGAAGCTAGCAATACTTTTGAACGTAAGTTTTCGAACATACCAAAAAGTATTTTAATTTGCCAAGTTGGTGTTGGAAGTCTTGGCCAAAGATGATCTCTTGTGAATAATAGCGAGATACTCTGTTGAGTTGCTGTGAAGACAAATTGGATTTCCATTCGGACGATTGTATCATGTCTATGCCAGCTGTCGTTATCGGTAGTTGGAACACATTTTCGGGTAAACATTCTATAGCATCAAAATAGAAGAATTGCTTGATTGGCATGAATTTTCCGGTGATCGCCTAAAGATACGAGATAAAATCAGATGGCACACTCAAAACATTATTGTGTGAGCTATGATCAGTGCTCGGCCGTTTTAGAAGTACGATCTTGAAAATCTTCAAAATAATTCTTGGATAATGCTGAATATCGAAAAAATCTCTAAACTATTTGGCAACGTAAAAGAGGATTTTTCAAGATCATTGAAATAGAAAATATGTGATATGCATGTTGACGTTAATTTTCGAAAATGCTCTATAGGAGGGATGAATGTTAATATGTTAACGACATACTTTGATTATTTCTTGAGTAGTAATACCACCGAGGATACTTTGTATTGGACATAGATTACCGGTACAAGTCTTAGAAAAAAGTTCAATCCAATGTTTATTCAGTTCTTCAATGAGCGGTTCATTGGACACTTTCATGTTGATTTGGCATGCTAGTTCATAGAATATCTCGGCATCGGCCTTTCAGTAGAAGTCATTTGCAATGAAAGCGAAGAAAACTCAACGATATACTCACGTCATCCCATGGTTTTGGTGCAGTATTGTATTTTTGTTTGAATTGGGAGAAAGCTTGAAATGCCAGATGAAGATTGGCCGACATAGACATTTTGTTAAAATCACAAATAGACAGTTCAGGTTTGATCAAAGAATCCGAATAAGATTTCTAGATACACAAAGCTTTTACATCAAAATGTACCAAAATCAAAGATTCGAAGGTTTACAAAATGTAATGTTTCTGATTTTTTAACTTCAATCACATTCCCACCACCTTCATAAGAGCCATAGGTCGTCGTATCACCGATAGCGAACTTGTAGGGGTCTAATGAAAAAGAAGCAAACTCGCTCTATTTAAATATGTTCAATAAAGATAAAAGATGCTTACTTAATACAGTAATCTTGAATTCTTTTCCATTCACTTCGCTCATGCCTTTGACCCCCGAAAAAGTAACATATGAATCATTGTCAAAACCATGTTTTTCATAAGATAAGATAGAAACAACACCTTTTTCATCCTAAGTAGAGTGAACATATGCGCGTATAAAAGATAACTTTGGCTTTCTAAACATACATTACTAATATCAGTCACAATGTGTACAATTGTTTTTTCACCATTGTTATCCAACACTTGAAAATTCTCTCCAAAGTCACAAAATATTTGCCTATCATATAAGATATGCGTAATTAATTAATTTGATTAGGGTTTCTGATTTTTTTCCTCAGAGGTGAAGAGTAGAGACGAGCAGAAACATGACCCAAGTCGACTTCGCAAAAGTTGGTCCTGTTAAATCAATGTTTTGATTGAGGAAATGTGGACCAACTGGTGACTTATCTGCGTTATTTCCCTCAGAAAAGAAACGGGTCAGAACATTCTATAAGAGACATGTATGAAATAAAATCTTGGTGATATCAAAATAAATGAAATTGAAATCATTTTCATTGCAACTAATCATCATGACTGACTTGCTCTTACATCCATACTGCTGCTAGAATCTTTTCCATTCTCATTTATTCAGGAACTGAAAGCTGTTAGTGTCATCGAGAAAAACATCAGACAAAAATTCATTCGTTCGAGTTTTTCAAAAAGCCGTATCATCTAGAAGGCGCACGGCAACGAGTCATTTGACGGCTAAACTATTCTCTTGTCAGTTAACATGTTCCCTTAAACATGAGCTCAAAAGCGATGGGACATCTTGATCGATTCCTACGTTAGTCATGAAAAAATGTTTCTTGAAAGAAGAATTCAATGCTGATGCAATGTGGAGATCGTACACCATATAGATCTATCTTGAAAAGACAGAGCTAGTACAAGAAATCTGAATTTTTAATGGAATTGCAATATGTGAAACAAATAAGTTTGCAAAGAAAAAGAACATTCAATAGATGGCATTCTTCGACTCTATGAAAACAAGAGCATGGAAATCTTCTAGAAACTCTTGTTGGCTAGGCAACCAAAACTGGAAATGAACAACCTTCCTCATGTCTAATAGAGAACGAAATTTCATCATAGAAAACTTATGTACATCTTTATACAAATTAAAATGAAGGTCAACAGCATAGCAGAAAGAGATCAGTGAAATGCTTCCCAATGCGTTTCATTTTTAACGGGAGTAAGTCGAGATGAGAAATAGGGAACAATTTCGAGCTTAATTGCCTTTTCTAGAGAACCACTTAAAATGTCTATCGCAAATGGAGAATTCGTTGACAAAATAGAAAATAACTTTTTGAATGTCAGTTTGAAATCTGAAATTGGTTCGAGAAAGTTGAGCTTTTACAATGACGACAACAACTATTTGTGCGATTGTGTTTTATTTATAACTCCACAAAAAGTGATATTTTGAGAAACCTACTATCAAGCCTCAAAATAAAAAACTATTTGGCTTGTAGTTTACTACAAAATAAATGTATTCTGTCAACAAAAATTATTCGTACAATGCGTTAAGCTACTGAAACATGCGAAAAGCTCGATAACAACGTCCCCAAAGAGAGCAAAGAACAAGCAATATCTTCTTTCAAAAAACTACCCATGAACCAACATTCTCATTTTACAGGGAAACTACTAAATAGGAAATGAACATGGTCACCTTAAAAAGTTCTCATCTCAATAGTCCAAACCAATATCCATATCTTCATCAAATCACGTACAACATCGTACAAGAAGTAGTGCTATGGATAAATTTCGATTTTGTTATGACGCTGTAACGGCGTTTCTCGACAGTGTTCGACATGAACTAGATAGAGTTTGTCTATCGTATGAATAATTTTTGCAGATAAAACGCCATTATTTTCTAGTGATGTGCTAATATTTCAAACAACTATAAATCAAACAATTTGATGTGTGAAGAGTAAAGACTAGGAGTTGTGACAATTCTTTTGTCATGTTTACTTTTTAAAAGTACCGTTTTTTTTTTGTTGCGTTATTATTAAAACTTTTATCGTTTGACGTTTTGTCGCAATTCTTTAAGGAAAAACAGCAACGCGTTACTGGTAATATAGACGAACTACGAATAATTTTATCGAAAGGCCAAAACTTTTTCTCGGAAGGACATAAAAACCTTCAAATCTGAAACTTCATACTTTATTAGGCTGGCTTATTCTCTCACAAGAGAAGATAGCATCCAGCATGATACGTTCCTTAGTCTTCAAGAATGGCAAATCTAATCTTCTACATGCTAAAGGATAGTATTGATAGTGTGTTGTGTGAAATAGATCGAAAATGATAGCAGTTATCAAGTTGTTGCATTTTTTCAGCAAACTGGTATAATACAACGCCATCAATCATAAGCTTTTTCCAAATTTTTCATACTAAGATCTCTAGTATATGCAAAAAAAGTGCAAATTACCCGAATAGACCTTTGGTATCAGCAATCAAAAATTTAATCTGATTCCTGTGACAGTAGTCGTCAATCATTTCTCGCTCGTCGTTCATAGCATCAGTAAGCACAAGTACCTACAATAATTAATAAAGATATCATAATCAACTATCTAAGAATATGAGCGACTCACATTGATACTGCTGGATTGAATAATGGATTCGGTCAGTGAATCAGATGAATATTTCATATGAACATTGGTGTTCAATTCCTGTAGTTTAGTATAAGCGACTTGAACACGATTTTTACCAATATCTTCTTCTGTGAAATAGAACTAGTTAGCGAAAAGATATATTTGTTTTGTTAACGAGAAGAATTTATTTTGTAGTACCTGTACGGAAAGATCGGCATAGGTAACATTATGACAATCTTGAATAATAACTGATTTAACACCGCACAAAATAATATTTTTCGCTATCTCGATCCCAAGACCACTTAAGCCAGATATGAGCACATTGGCATTGGCCAATTTATGCATTGCTTCTTTGCCTAGCACATATCTAAACAAAAAAAATAACATAGCTTCTAGAGATTTTTACCTCGAAACATGTTTTTCATACGTAATAGAATGACGATAACAACTTACAATTGTCGAGAATATAGACCTTCGTCAATATCAAACATTGTTATCGAATATATCAATCAGTTTTTGAAACGATGAAAAGCTTGCTATTTAGATGCTGAATTCAACTGTATGCTGACTAAAATATTTCTTCTTTATATATACTTTTTTCTTGATCACGTGCACTGACTTACTTGCTGTTGAGTAAGTACTATAGGCAAGGCAAAATAAGGAAAGAAAGAGAATGAATGAAGAAAAGAGAATGTGTTCTTGTCCATATACATGAATCGAACATAAATCCTATCAATTAATTGCTCACATATGCAAGCTTTGCGCACATTATGTAAAAATTAGACAAGAGCGAGGGCGAATTCGTAGGTGACGAAAGAGATCGAAATAATAAAAAAAGAAATGTTGCATGATATTTTTTTAGAAATTGTAAAATGGTTGCATTTTTGTATTGAATCCTGTTTCAAATTAAAACAAATATTGGATTAAGCTTGTTTAGTAATATAGCTATCCGCATTTGTTAAGTGGGTACGACTTTTAGGACATACTATATATATAGTACAGTACCATGCGTTTAAATATACCCAACAAAACAGAATATGTACACTGATAATCATCTTAATCATGTGATGGAAACCTTTTTTGCGACTAAAACATGTAAACAATTTGAAACCTTGTAATGGTAAATAGGAAACAGTGTCAAGACTTCAAAAAGAATTATAATTCACAAAGTTTTAATGTAATACAAATCTGATTAAAAATAACTACAACCTATATTTTAAATTACAAATAGATAATAATGTTGGTGGTATTTTTCTGTTTTCATATGCATTAAAGATTTTTTTAAATTTAATAAATTTTAGATGAATAGCATTACTTAATATTGACTTTCTTCTTTTCTACTGTAGACATGTAATGAGTAAAAGAAAACGTATTAAACGCTGGAACCAGCAACAATTTGATAGTCGATTGAATAAAATTAGTAAATTTCGTTTTCGATTGAATAATTAAGTGAAAGTAAAGAATGAGCCGAAAGTTTTGATCGGTTTTTAAAAGATTGCTTTTTCTTCCGTATTACAAATCAAAAAAAAGTGTTCAAAATTGGACATATAATCTCTTACATATGGATGAATGTTACCCTAAATTTTCATATCCCTCAGGCCCAAGTATAGCGGCGATATATAGGGTCGTATGATGGAGCAAATTTTTTTCATAAGTTCGAAGAAAGTTTAAACAAATTTTCTTCGTAACAAAATATCTAGAATAATTAACTTTCACTATTTATATAATAACAGACAATACACAATTTCACGAAGAAATTGAAAATTTAACACTCTTGAAAAAAAGACCTTTACAGATCTGGAGTATCATTAGTCCACAAATGTGTTCAAAATTGATAAACTCAAAACCAAGAAGATTACAATGTTAATTGATGAAAATGGTTATCCAATCAACAAAAAAGACTATGCTGACATGAAAATGTAAAATAATGTATTGTCTGTCATTGTATAAATAGTTAAAGTTAATTATTCTAGATGTTTCTAACGAATAAATTTTTTTTAAACATTTTTTGGGACATATGAAAAAAATCTACTCCATCGTACGACCCTGTGTATTTCCGCTATATTTGGACCTGAGAATATGAGAATTTAGGGTAATATTCAT